TGCTGCATCGGACGTGTAAGACTGCTTGAATTGAGACTGATTTGGAGAGTTTTAATCTTAAATGTCATGCGTTATTACATCACATGCATTAAAAGTAGTGCAGTTTTACTTCATACTTTTAATACTTTTTGCATTACTTTTTTCTCACTGTTATCTGACACTCTCTCAGAACAGTAATGCTATGCTTGGCTTGCAGGAAATCTTTTTATTTATTTGTATGTGATATATTTGAAATGATCCCTCAACATAATTTGCAAGCAATGACTATACGGTTGTATAGATGTTGTACCGACATGGTATCATGCAGACTTTTTTGTCAGTAAACAAATAAATAGAAGCAGGTATTAGGGTATTCATTCATGAAGTAAAATGTAATATTACTACAATAACTGGGTAAGTTTTAGTTTTTATTAGGGCTGTCAATCGATTAACATTTTTAATCTAATTAATCACATCCTTTTTCTGTGATTAATCGCGATTAATCGCACACTTTATGAAATTAAGCATAGACCATTTATCTTGTTTCAAATGTTTATGTTGTCATCATTTGCTATATCCAGAAAAGTAAACCAAAAGATTGAAGGGTGATTCTCAAACATCTATATTTTCTGCAAGCTTTTTTCAAGATAAATTTAGATGTCTTTCCAAAAAAGGACACTTAGAAACTCTAAAAAGGACACCAAAGAGCCAAATGATACAAGGAGCCCATATAAGCACATATAAAATCAGAATTTTATAGTATGTGTACAGTGCAACAGCAAAGAGCTTTTTTACATTTTAGAGAAGACAAGTTGCGATACCGAACAGGACCACATGGAGATGCCAAAAAAAAACTAAACCAATCGCCTGCTGACTGCATATATCTACTACAGTACATGGATCCATTCCGTATAACTAAACACAGCAACATACACATGACAAACCAAAACATTCGTGAATGTGTGTGGAAACAACGTGAATGTACGGAAATGTCTGTGCCTGTGCATAAATACAATGTGCATTCAGTGCGTCAAGAGCACTCATACACGCATTATTATAAAGGACTCATGCGTGCTTACTGTACGACTCCTGTACGCCACCGCAATCGTCTTTACCTTGATTGCAGTCTTCATCTATCAAAACTTTACTAGCGAGACTGGTTATCCAGTCAAGAAAACGTAGTTTGCGTCTCATCTGGCCGTACAGCGGTGGGATGTGTTGACAATCCGTTCAGTCTGTACTTCACACAGCACGATGTGTGAGGGCTCGCGCTCTTCAGAGACAATTACAGAATATGACAGAGCTCGTATTTTAAAGCGAAACACACTGGAATGACTAATTCCATTAAAACGCAACGCGAGTCTCTGTTCTCTCTGCAATCTCTGATGTAATCAGCCTGGTTTCCTTTATATTAGCACTGTTTTGGACGGATTGTTTGAATGCATTCGCTTACTGGATCATTGGACTGAAAACTTTCCCGGAGTTTAGAGGCTTAAAATGATCTAATCGCAAGCAGAGAAGCAAAATTGGGTTAAAGGGTTAGAATAGAAATTGTGCTCTAGTAATTTTGCGTTAATTGCATTAAATTATTTTACCGCATTAAGAATTGTAAAATTAATCGCATGCGTTAACACGTTAACGATGACAGCCCTGGTTTTTATGTAATTTTCACTATTCTCTGATAATTCTTATTGCTTTCTGTATTGCAGTGAATACGTTGCAGTATTACAGTGGAGAAAAACTGTAAAACATTGATTTTTTTCCAGCTAAAGTATACATAAATGTATTAAAAACAAATATTACCAAGATAAGTTTGATAATTTAACTGCTTTACAATAAACACACACACACGTTACATATTTTTGTATTTTTTTAAATAATTAATTTTATTATAATTTTTTATATATGGGGTATTGTGCCCAATCTCTCTCTCTCTCTCTTTCTCTCTCTCTCTCTCATTGCTTTAAGCTAAATATTAAAGCAAAATATAATTCTTATTTTATGATTATAGGAATTTATATATCATATAATATTTTTCCATATTTTATTAGTTTGGGGTGAAATATGACCCAAACAAGTTCTTGGTTTTATGAGATTTGATTTTGATCTGATAACATAACATGCGGTTACATTAAAAACTTGCAATTAATGTGCAGTACCAGGCCAGAGTTTGAGTGTTAATGGAACTAAGTGTGTGTGTGTGTGTGTGTGTGGGTGGGTTAGGTTGTGTATTGGAGCAAGGTCTTAGAAACTCTATGTGGATTAGTTCAATTTGGGGTGGCTATTGTTCGAGAAAAGGGGGAGGAGAGAGTTAATTAGGATTGTTAATCCTTCTGTTATTACAACGATGTCTTAACCCTCATTTAAACTCACGCAGACACACACACACACACACACACACACACACACAGACAGACCTTTGCAATTATTTGACAATGAACCCTTAACGATGTTTCTGCAGTCTCACTTCTCTTACCACAAGAATTCGGTGTGAGCATGTGTGTATGTGTGTGTGTGTGCGCATGTGAAAGTGGGTTGGGGGGTCACAGGTAGGATTTCAGACAGCCTTAAGGGGATTTGCTTTGATACAGCCTGAATCACCTGGCCTGTTGCACGAGTGCCGAGGAAGGAGATTAATGACCACTTACGCACTTTGCCTCTCGTGACAAACCAGGTGATTCAGCCAGTATCAAAGCAAACAGATGAGATAACATCAGGAAGGCGGCAATCATTCTGAATGCATTTGCATCGCAACCCAGTCAGTGGAACGCACTTCGCCGATTCCATTGTGCACAACAAAATGACATTCACATTATTTCTCATGATGCTAGATGCGACAAAAAAAGAAACGTTTAACAGAAATTTGGTGCCACAGCATCGCAACCTTCCCTAGCCTCGTGGTTACTTCAAGTCTTCATGCAGATGCACACACGCACGAACACGATGTTCCTGGAACTCCCACGCTGCGTAATACACTCTCATCACAACTGTTGCGTCACCAAACGTCCGCTGGCTCTTCGAAAGCCTGAGTGCATGCTTCCCTCTACTTTTATCCTCCACGTGCCTCTTCCGTCAGCCTCGCTCCCGGTTACGTTCTGACTAAGGGAAAATACAGGAGGATTATGCAGTAAAATTAAATCAAATTAAATGTTGATCTGTTTTTGACATTTACAATTTTGTTTAATCAGTGTGCCGTTTTCATGTCAGTCGCAGTTGTTGTTTTTTTCATGAATGGAAGCGTGTACGCTGCTAACCCTCATGGATGATTTCAACGTCAGTTTTGTTGTACTCGAAATAGCCTAACAACTCACTTGCATTTCCATCTAGCAGGCATTTGTAGGTCTGGCCAGCAGAGGTTGTAGTCCACCATGTATGACTTTGAAAGATTGAAATCGAAGTACTTATAGTGGTATTTTAGGCATGCACACATGCTTCGCACAGTCGGTCAATCCTGAGCATTTAAAACAGCTGAGATTCGACTAGCATTTGCGATGCCAGTTGCGTGTAAGATTGGACAAATGTAAAATGGTGTTGCTTTCTCGTATAGTATTCATACTGGGCAACTTTTTTTGGTTGGCTGAATGGAAAAATGCTTGTGTGTTTTCAAACAACTGACAACAAGAGGATTGGTTATGTGTGTTTCTCTATCAGTGACATTGTTCGACTGCGTCGTGGTATCAAAGACATGGCGTGCACGTGCGCAGTCCAGTCCAGTTGTTGCAGGCAGCCGAGACACAGATGGTCTTCAGTGATACCACATTCCAGAGCCATTGTTTAAGGAAGGCTAGCCGGGTTAGATAATTGACAGCCACAGCGCGCAAGAGAGAAACCCTTCCCCCCAGTCTGAAACGCACAGACGCACATACACGCATTGTTCACAGCACACGCCCCCTTCTCTTTCTTTATCCAGCACATCCCGCCCTCGTGCTCTCTGTGTCTATGTCTCTCGCTCATTCTCTCTCTCTTGTCTGTTTCACCCTAGCAGCAGTGCCCATGCTCGACTCCGATTGGCTGACGGCCGCTCTTTGTGAGCTATCTTTGGCGTGACGTCGCGTTAGTGAGTGTGGTGTGTGTGTAGGTCGAAAAGGAGGCGAGGCGAGGCGGGGCGGGGGGGGGGAGGTT